TTCAAGGTTATCAACCTAGATACCCCATCGTGAGTGTGCAGGCTCCACTTCTTCCCACCTCTGGCAATGACCTTGGCATAGCAGCTCACCAGGACTGTGAACCCTTTTGGAGTTCTGCCCTTGTAATTCAAGTGGTGGGCTTGATTCTCAGCTTTTTCTGATTTGTACCCCCTTCCCCTTATGTGTTGCTGCAGAGATACTCTTGTGTCCATCCTTAGCCTTTAATTGATGATTTATCACCTTCGATCTTTCATAATCTTTCTCCAAATCATAGATTTACTCCAGCAATAGCTTTCCAGACCATTGTGCTTAAATTGCCATTTCCCCCATATTTGAAAATGTGTGCTAGATTGCAACTGCCAGTGCGTTCTTCCACTGGTGCTACATCCTATCCACCCCATCCCCGGCACTGCTGAGCATTTTAACATTGCACTGCTACAGCATGCCAACGCCTGTCAGGACATCACCTGGAGGCCTCACTGCCAGCTGGCTAGGGGTGATTCAGCTCCACTGGATCAGATCACATTCATGGAACTTTAATGCCCTGGATAAACATTGTGCAGGAGTGAAAGGACTAGGATTGTGCAGAAAAAGAAGTTGAAGTAAATGATTAAATGCAGTCACAGCCAAAGCCTCACCTAATCAGTCCCCCGGGAACTGATCAGTTAAGGAAACTCTGGAGCTGGGAAAGCCCTTCTGAGTTGTGATAGCCTGCAGCCTGCCTCTCCTAGTCCGTGCAGGTTCTCCTGGGGAGTGATGTGACCTGATGTGAGGCAGGTATGCCTTCAGCTGAGGGCAATTCCTGAAAAGGGGTTCAGCTGAGAAGTGTTGGCTACAAACACTCCCAGCAGCTGGAGAAATGAGCACCTTGGTCCAGAAAGAACTCTGTACTCCTTGGGATTTTAGGGTGGTATGTTGTGCTTGTGGAGATGGAGGCAGAGTGTGTAGAGGGAATGCTGCAGGGATGTCTTTTTGGAATTCTTGTTTATTTATTTGAGAGGGAGGGAGGAAGAGAGAGTGAGTGAGCAAGCTCCCATCTGCTGGTCCACTTCACAGCCAGGGGGCTGGCTGCGCTAAAGCCAGGAGATTGGAACTCAATCCAGGTTTTGTATTTGGGTGGCAGGGACCCAACTGCTTGAGTCATCACCTGCTGCCTCCTAAGGTGTGTATTGGCAGGAAGCTGGAGTCAGGAGCAAGATCCTGGAATCAAACCCAGACTCTATACAGAATGTGGGTGTCCTAACTGCATCTTAACCAGCAGGCCAAATGCCCACCCTTGGAATAAGATTCTTGGAGAAAAAACTGGCAGAAATTGTTGCCTGACTAAAAAATGGAAGACAAATAAGAAAGATACATTTAACTATACCAAACACTAATAGTTCCCTGATTATTCTTGTGTTGGACAGAATAGGAAAGTTAGGTTACAAACCTAACTCCATTCTCTGTAGTCCATGCCTCTTTATTAGACTAGAGCTAGTCAAATTGTTCCATGGGCTAAATTCAGACAACAGACATATTTTGTTTGGCTACCCAGCATTTTAAAAAATGTGAATTGGCTGCCACAACATAAAATTGAAAGAGTTCATACTTGAGTTCAGATCTCCAGCTTCTGAGTGATGAGATGCAGCAACACTGGGTCAGCATCCCCCACGGCAGTAGTTGATGGGAACTGAGTGGCTGCTGCCTTCTTAAAGGGAGAGGGAGGATGTGATCCTTCAGTCACTAATACCTGTTTGTGTTATCTTCTTTGGCATGGCTTAGAAATCTTGCCACACCATGCACTGCCTAACAAAGTATATGGTACACGTAAACATTTAACCCTGGTTCAGCAGCATCAAATGAATTTCACTGGAGAAGGGGTTGGAGTGAGGTCTAGTCTTCCAACTGTTACGAGGGGCTTGGTACTCAGGGGAGGCAACAAGACAGGAAGTACAGAGTCAGGGGAGTTAACCAGGTGCTGGCAGGCACCTCCGTAAAGGAAGAGTAGAGGTCAAGGCCTGCAGTTCAGGTGTCTGACCTCAGAGTTAGAGAGCAACAGGGAATCATGGGAGAAACATGTCAGGGAGCAAAGGGACACGCTGGGATGGATGTTATGCCAATGTGGGTGAGGGAGCTAGGGTCAGGCAGCTCTGGCTAGTGTGTGGAACAGACAGCAGGCATACACAGGCAGAGAGCCTGGCAACAAGGAAGTAACTAGGGACTTTCACAGGAAGTCTGGGGAAAGGAAAGGAAGATCATGAGCGTGGTAGGGCTCCTAGAATGTTACGAGCACGAGTGAGGGCTTCCCAAGGGGTCCTGGCTGGGGGAGACCTCATTTAATATCGATTCTTGTCAGCACTGTCATCACCGCTGACATCACCTAAAAGAGATCAGTCAATATCCATGTTGCAGCCTTAAAGAAGGGGGCCAAAGAAACACCCAAACTCTGGTCTTTTGTTCTAGTAGTGGAATGAAGCATTAATTTAATATGTATTTTGGACAGTCACCAACAGAGATTGGAAACTTTTCTCTTGCATCTCTCTCTTTCTCTCTCTCTCTGTGTCTGTGTCCATGAGCTATTGCCTTCTGAGTTTTCTGTGCTAAAATTACATTTCCAGTTTGGCTCTGCTTAATACCCAGTGAGAACCTTTCTGTGAGGCCTAACCAGCTGAGCAGGGTATGCTCAGAGCATGCGAGCTCATTTTAACTTTAGCCTCAGTCGAATGTATTGAGAAAGATAAATTTACAAATAACTCATTCTAAAGTCCAGTGTCAGATATAGATAAACCAGCCACTGCCTCCAGACGCAATCTTCTTCCTGGAAAACCGGCACCGTCCACTCCACACCAAACTGCTGGGGCCTGGGGAAGGGCGGGGATAATGGTACCCATCGAAACACCTCGTGGAGAGGGATGTGGTGAATTCATAACGAAAGCAAGGCCCTTCAAGGCCTGTGGAGGGTGCTGAACCTCGAGTTCTTCTGTAACAGTGTGCCAAAGCGTCTCCCGCTCGGGTGCCTATCAGTTAGTTCAGCAGAGAGTGTTAGGGCTGGGACTCCCGAGTCTTTGATTGTTTTGGGGTCTGCCATTGAGCTTTAAGCGACCTTAAAAAAAAAAATCACTGACTCTTTCTTAACCTTCCCTTTTCCTGTTTGTCAGCAATCGACAGAAACTACGAAGGCCCTGGAAGCCCGCGGCCGCGCGCCGTGTGTTTCTGTCGGAGCGGAGAGCGGCGCGCTGGCAGAGACTCCAGCCCCAGGGCGCCCTCACTTCCAACCCCGGGAGCAATCCAAACCCCGCGGCCGGCGGGGGACGGGGAGCCCGGGGAGGCGGTGGGGACGGGAGCGGATGCTCCGGGGCCGGCTCCGACTCTCCGAGCCGGAACCCAGCGCGGGTCTAGGTGAGCCCCGCGGCGTTGAGGGACGCGCGCCTCCCGGCCCCGAGGAGTTAGGTGACGTCACCTCCAGAAGGGCTCGCTTTTTCATTAATGAAACCGGCCAGCGCGCGCGCATGCGCTGCAGGCCCCTTCCCTCTCGCTTCCCCCTCCCCTTTCCCAGCCGCGCTCTCAATCTCTAGCTCGCTCGCTCTCCCTCTCCCCGAGCCGTGGAAAGGATCCCACTTCCGGTGGGGTGTCATGGCGGCGTCTCGGACTGTGATGGCTGTGGGGAGACGGCGCTAGTGGGGAGAGCGACCAAGAGACCCCCCTCCCCTCCCCGGGCCCCCCTTCCCCCGCCCCCTCCCCCCTGCCTCTTCGCCAACGCCCCCTTCCCCTCTCCCCTTCCCGGCTGGGCGCAGAGCCCCCATCCCCACCCCCGTGGGAACGCTCGGAGCCTGCACTCCTCAGACCCTTTGGTCGCCTCTTCCCTCACCTCAGCCCCCGCTCCCCGCCCTCTTCCCGGCCCTGGGCGCCGGCCGACCGGTCCCTCCGCCGCCCCCCGGCCGCGGGGAGGACATGGCCGCGCACAGGCCGGTGGAATGGGTCCAGGCCGTGGTCAGCCGCTTCGACGAGCAGGTAACGGGCCCGTGGCGGGCGGGAGGTGGGAGCCAAGTGGGGGTGGGGACGGAGTGGGTGAGGGGAGGAAGGAGCGGCCGCCTCCCCCGCGGCTGCCTGGGGCTCTGGAGGAAAGGAAAGGGGAGAAGGGGGACCGTGGGGGTGGCCGCGGCGGGAGGCGCGAGGAGGGAGGGCACGGCCGGGAGCTGGGGCGCCCCTTCCCTCCTAAATCGGGGGGTGGGGCCTTATCCCCAGCCAGCCCTCCGACCCTCCATCCCCTTTATCCCAGCCCTTCCGCTTGCTAATGGGGATGAGTGACCTGGGGGCGCTCTCAGGGGCGCTCCATCTGGATTTAATCATACCCCCATACTTTTTTTTTTTTTTTTTTTGGTTTTGTTTTGTTTTTGAACGGAGGTGGGTAACGTTTAGGGGTTCCCTCTTGCTCTTCCCTCGGTGAGCCGCCTCATCGGGGGTAAGGGCCTGTCTTGTGTACCCCGTCTAGAACGATAACATCCCGCCCCTCCCCCAGTGTCTTCAGCTTCCTCTCCGGGAGGGGGAAGAGTAGAAGAAAGCAGGGAAAGCTCAGGTTTTCTTACTTTCTGCCCCCGACAGCCCCAAGTGCACACACACACACTCTGCACAGCTTCTTCATGCCGCCCCCCACGGGCGTCCCCCCAAGCCCCCGCGACGCGGGACTGCCGTTCGTGCCGCCGTTTGCAGTGGGCTCCCGAGTTCTGAAATACTTTGCCCCCTTTTCCTTCCTTGATCCTTGCAGCTCTCCCGCTCTGCGCCTTCTTCTTGCAGAGCATTGCTTTCTGGAGTGAGGCTCTTGAGGAGTTAGGGGAGAAGGGAAGGCAAAGTGGGGAGCTGACCGGACACACTGACAACAGCGAGCAAAGACCGCCGGGATGTGGTCCAGGACTGCGATTCTGCTAGTGTTTTGTTGTTGTTTTTGATTCTGGCCTCTGGGTTGACAGAACTTTGGTTGAGAATATTTGAGATTGGGGGGGGGGGTGAGTTTCATAGCTTGGGAGGTAACTTTATATTTCCTGAGTTTCACACCAAAATCCTATGGTTTATCGGAGTGAAGGCACACATGCCTTTTGTCAATGGGAATTGGATTAACTTGGTGTTGCTGTGGGTGGTTGGAGATGGTTGCAAGGGATGCTTTTGCAGCTTCAGTTCTACCGTGGGCTTCCTGTGCTGAGGGAGTTGTTTGAATCGCTGTGTTTTGTTCACTGGATATAATCATGAACATGATGAGGAGATCTCAGGGTGGAGGACGGCCTTGTTGCATTAGATCCAGACACACTTCCTTGCAGGACTTACAGCTTTTCCGGTTTACCTGGAAGATATCTGGGGACAGGCAGAGGAAGTAGAGAAGAAGCTACATAGATAAAATAAAATTGCAAAGCCCTCGGAGACTGGAAAGAGTTGTTTCATCCATTCTCTGCTTCCAGACCAAAAGGCGTTTCCACCCGCTATACCGCTGGTCCATCTGATGAATGTTGCTTCCTGTCATAGATTACATTACTGATAGAGTGCTGGATTTCAAACTTGATAGAAAGGCTGTCTATGCAATTAAAAAAAAAAAAGAATTTAAAAGGCACTGAGAAGAATTCCGAAACAGAACCTGTCCATAGCATACTATGAATGCAAGAATTTGAGGGATTCACTCCATAGTTACTCACTCTCAGTATTTAAAAAATAAGAAAAGTTTTTTCCTGATTTCTTACCTGTTGATCTGTGTGCACATTTACCATATAACAAAAAGGTAGTTCCCTAGATTTTAAGAGGAGTGATTTTGAGTATATGCCCAGTAATGTAAGAAAATGTTTCTCCTCCTGTCCCCATTGTTAAAAGACCTCATAGGCCTTGTCATTTGTTTTGTGATGTATATTATAAAAATCAAACTCACCACCACCTGTTAAAAATTGAGGATGTAAGTTTTTAAAACAGCATTCTCTGCATTTCTGTATTGTAGTTTTGAGAAAGATACATAGGATAAGTTATTCCTTTTTTTTTTTTTTCTTAGAAGGGTAAAGCCCACTGGCTTTGAGATGCAGAAGTGTGTTCAGTGTTGAACATAAGTTACTTCTACTGGCTGATGTATTTGAGCAGTACTAGATGTTTAACTTAGAGTTCATGCTCGGGTTGGATGCTTTCAGTGAGGAAACAGGCACAGAGAGGTGCAGTGACATGGTACACCTACAGCTTGAGCCTCAGGATGAGAACTGTTGAATGTTTTGTGAGTATGTTTTAATAATCCATTAAATACAGTTAGAAGAAGGCATATCTATCTAAAGATGGCAACTGTTGATGATTGAATTGATGTTTGGGTTGGAGTTCTAATATTTTCGCTGATTAAAACTTTCCATTGCTGATGACAGGTGCTGTAGACCTTGTTAAAGAAGTGGTATTTCCAGCTTGACATTTTGAGCCCAAATCCTTGTTTCCAAGTAGATTAAAATAAAATGTAATTTGCTGATGTTGCTCCTAAACATAATATCAATGGCCAAATGATTGTTACCAGTTTTAAATGTAATCATCTTGATTAGGGAAATAGCAATTACAAAGCCAGAAAGCTGAATGTATCTGTTACATTTTCTGTCTCTCTTTGACCTGCCTTTGTGGTGTTACATAGTAAATTTCTCAATTGGAACTGGCACAGTTTAGATGTGTAGCTTTTAATTGTTGCTCATTAGCCTGGTTTCTTAAAAAACTGGAAGCTTCTTAGTTGTTTCAGCTAGCTCTTGTGCCCCCCCCCCCAAATCTTTTTAGGACTGTATTTCTGAAAGGGAAAAGGAAAAAAAAAAGCAGTTACTTAAAGTTTAAAAAATATTGAAAAAGGCATCCCCAAATGACTTGTCAATATGTGTTCATAAAGCATTTACATGTTCCATATCTAGTCAAGTGAAAACAGTATATGAAAGATTTTAAAGAACATGTTACAGAATGAACCAATTATTTATAATGGCAGATTGGTTGTTATTATATATTGAGTGCAAATCAGAGTGTCCTTTGCGGTATAAAATTCACAGTAAGAAATGATTGGTAGGTGTCTTTGAAGTTACAAACCACATGCTAATTGACCGACTAGATGGATTTGTAAAACTTGGAAGACAGATTTTTTTTTTAAGAGAAATCTCCTTGCTTCATTCTTAAATACTAGTCTGTAGTCTTTATAAGGCCATATAAGTTAAAAGTAATTACTATATTTATGGTAGGTGATATTTTATGGTGAGAAATACTGCACATTCTTTATTCTGGAGTTCATCTTTCAAGATTTCTTCATTTGAAAGGCAGAGTAACGGAGTAGAACATGATGGTAGGGGTTGGAGCAGGGCGGGGATTGGTGGTGGTGGTGGTGGTGGAGTGGAAATCTAAATGCCTGCAACAGCTGGGGTTTTTGGCAAGGCCTATGCCAGGATCCAGGAACTCTTATCTAGGTCTCTCATGTGGGTGACAGGAACCCAAGCACCAGGCCACCATCTGCTACCTCCCAAACTCAAAAGCAGGAAGCTAGATCTG